ATTTCAGTCGGGGGTGTAGTGTGCAGGAGCTGTAACTGGGTCAGACCAAAGGCCCATCCAGCCCAGGGTCCTGCCTGCCCACAGTGGCCAGTGCCAGGTGCCCCAGAGGGAGAGAACAGAGCAGGGAACCGTCCTGCGATCCCTCCCGTCGCCCATTCCCAGTGTCTGGCAGACAGAGCCCAGGGACACCAGCCCTGCCCACTGGCCACTGATGGATCCAGCCTCCATGAGCTGATCTAGGTCTTCTTTGAACCCTGTTATTGTCTTGACCTGCACAACATCCATTGTGTGAGAAATTCTTCCTTGTGTTTTCTTGTCATTCCCTATTCATCTCGTTTGGTGTCTTGTCAGGCAACATATCTTACTGCCGCAGGATAAATCCATGGCACGCCACGTCTTGAATACTGCGTGCAGATGTGGTCGCCTCATTGCAAAAAAACATAAAACAAGCTTGGCCGGTGCAAAGGTTCAGAAAAGGGGTCTCCAGCCCCGTGTTACTGATTCCTGACATCGGGTTTGTTTTTGTGACTGCGGCTGCACACGGGGTGGATGTTCTCAGAGAACGACCCACAATGACGCCAAGACCCTTCTCTTGAGCGGTGGCAGCTAATTCAGTCCCCGCCTTTTCGTACGTATCGTTGGGGGGGTTCCAATGGGCATTACTCTGCATTTACCAGCATTAACATTCACCTGCCATTTTGTTGCGCAGTCAGCAGTTTTGTGAGATCCTTTGAAGCTCTTCACACTCTGCTTTGCACTTGGCTACCCTGAGCAGTTTAGTATCATCTGCAAATGTAACCCAGGGCTGGGGCATGGGATGGGCCCTTGCTCTGTCCCCCAGGGCTGGGCAGGCGCTGGCCTCAGGCTGTAAACCCCCTGCCTTTACAATGCAAATGTGGATAAGTCCTCAGAGGGGGGATTGTGTGGGAATGAGGGCGTCTCAATCCCCTCCATTTCATCTCAGGGTATGGCATCGATACTGTTGTTCTCTCGATACTGGTGATCAGGGCCCTGCTGTGCTGCGAGCTGGACAAGCAAAGGTCTCTGTCCCATAGAGTTCCAGCTCTAAGGAACTCCTGGACCTGCTGAGGCGGGGGGCGGGGCAGGGCGGGGGGCAGATCCCGGTGGCCTTCTGGGACTGAAGATGCATTCCCAAGTGGTTCTGGGCTAGAGCACCCAGCACTCCCTGAGTCACTGCCTGGGGCAGCAGGGGCTGGCCCCTGGGGGAGAGGGGAGGCGTGTTCTCCCACAGCCTCACTGCCCCTGCCAGCCAGTCTCGCTGTGATGCATGCCGCCGGACTTGGCCCTCTGTTTGCCTTTGGCAGGACCACTGCCTGAGACTGCCTGGGTCGTTAGCTCCCTATTGACGTTGAGTTCACTCCCAGGCTTCTTTCTCTGGCATTTCCTGGCTGAGGGTTATGTTTGACTGCAGGCCAAACAAAACAAGAGTTGGTTGGATGCAATGTTCTTACTGAGCTCTGAACTCTGACCGGCAAGATCCGAACCTTTCATTCCCAGAGCGCTGGCTGCTGGGGGAGGGGCTGGCTGGGGCTGCACCAGCCTGTGTTTCATTTTATTCTGATAGCCCCACGACCACCTGGTCGTGCCCCTTTTGGCCTTGCATTCAACATGCAGGTGCTTTGATTGAATAGCCTAGTGAAGGACGCGGGGGATTCGGACCCTAGGTCCTGCCGAAGGCCCTGTCTGCAGCAGTGTTCCCTGTAAGCTGAGCACTTGGGCGGCAGCCCAGGAGGGACTCAGGTGCCGCCCAGCTGATGAGCAGAGCACCCACAGCCGGCAGCATTTCTACCAGTGGAGCACATCTGCACGTGCCTCGGTGCACAGCACAAAATGTATTCCACATCTGGATGGAAAAAACGAGAGGGAACATTGGTCTGCAGTAGGGAGCTGTGCAGCTGTAGCAGTGTAGCTGTGTGGGTGCAGCTCCACAGTGTGATGCAGGCGACAGGGAGGGAAGGGTTTGGAGCACTTCACTTCACTGGAGCCAGAAGCGCTGCTCTGACCTGCCGCTCCGGGTCCTGGCCTCCGCAGTCTTTGGTGGGGCTGGATCTGGAGTTTGGGTTTGGGTCCGTCCCCGGCCTCACAGGACAGCTCTTCTCCCCTCGTCCCACCGCCAGCTGCAGGCAATGCCGAGGAAAAGAGAGCCCCACCTCCCCAACTGCAAGCTGGAAAGCTGCAGTCAGTGTGGGTGAGCCATGCCGGGGTCACCCAGGAGGCTACACAAGTGCTCCAGGAGTAGCTAAATATAGCGCTTGCCTCAGGCTAACAGCACAGATAACGCGTCTCTCCAGCCTTTTGCCCACGTCATCACTGTAGTCACTGTGCTGCATCGGAGGGTGGCTGTGCAGCGCATTGGGGCGAAAGGGGGGGCCTGCAACTGGGGGGGAAATGGGGCTGTCTGAGGCTGCAAACCAGCTCCCCTGGGTTTGGCGGGCAAAGTATGAGTAGCAGTGAGGCTTGCACAGACTTTCATCACATGGCCGAGCCCATGTCGGATTGGCCAGCTGACTCGATTACCAGTGCAGGATTGCTAGAAGCCTGCTCATGCAGAGTCAGTTTCACTGCAGGCCTGTCTCTAGCTGCATTTCACCACTCTAGCAAGACTTAGCACTTCCAGGAGCTCAGGACCATACTGGGGGGAGGGACCAAGATATGGGGCAGCCCTGTGTCTGGTCCAAGCCACTAGCACTCTGGCCCTCTGAGTCCCAGCATAGTGCTCTAGCCACTAGAGCACACAGCCACTCACATACCACCCACAAGCAATATGGACTGTTAGCATTCAGCCACCTAGTTTCGGCGGGACTCTCAGCAAGGCAGGAAAGCGCTACTACCCTTATGCCAGATGGGGAGCTGAGACACAGAGCATGGCATGCCGGAAGCATCCCAGCAGCTACATTTAGCCCCTGGAAAATCACAGGAACAGCCCTGTACTCCACAATGCCTAGGGCTGCCAGGGGGCTGGTTTTGAACCAGACAGTCCCATATTTGAGCTTTCTGTCCGGGAAACAAATGGAGAAAATACCGGACATAGAAATGTCTGGTATTTTCTAATTAAGTTTTATTATTATCATGAGTATCGGTACATACTTGTGTACTGCCTGGCTAGTAGACACACTCACACTGCGTGAACATTGGTACCAGCAAAGCATTACGCAACTACGCAGTAGAGAGGAGTGGGGCGGGGGCGAGGCCGGGGCTGGGGCGGGATGGACTCCCCGGGGCCAGACTCACCCATGCGCACTGCCGGGACCATGTGTGGGACGGGCAGCACCACAGGATCTGTGTGAGCCTAGGCCAGCCCCGCTCCCTGCTGGCCAGTTCCCCCCCTCCTGCTCCCACCCCAGCCAGCCCCACTCCCCCAACCTCCTTCTGGCCAGCTCTGCTTCCTGCTGGCCAGGCCCTGTCTCCGTCACCGCCCCCTTCTCCCACGGCGCCGGCGGGGGGGGGCGCACCACTCAGCGCCACGGCGGGAGGAGGAAGGGGGGGCGGTGACATACACGGCCCTGCCCCCTGGCCATATATGTCACCGCCCCGCTGCCCATCCTGTCCCACTGGGGCTCAGCTGAGCAGCGCAGCGCCAGCACCACTCAGCTGGGCCACGGCGGGGGAGCAAGCGGCAGCAAGCAGCCATTTGGGGTCCGCACTCCCCATGCTGTCTACACTGGCCGCGAGTATTTGCACAAGAAAGCTGACTTTGTACTGTACAAAATCAGTGGTTCTTGCGCAAATACTCCGCCACTCCCACTCAGGGATAAGCCCCCTTGCACAAGTATTCTTGCGCAAGAGGGCCAGTGTAGACAGCCAAGCTAATTTCTTGCGCAAGAAAGCCCGATGGCTAAAATGGCCCCCGGGCTTTCCTGCGCAAGAGAGTCTACTCTGGCACTGAAATCTTTTGTGCAAAGGCACATGCCAGTATAGATGCTCTCTTGTGCAAATACTTTTAACGGAAAAACTTTTCCATTAAAAGTATTTGCGCAAAAACATGCCAGTCTAGACGCAGCCTTAGGTGTAGGGACACTCTTCCCATCTTCAACACTGGTGAAAACACAGCATGGAGCTTTCCCAAGCTGGCTTTTATGCCCAAAGTTAATTAATTGCTAAAGCTGATCCCTAGGGTAAAGCAAATGTGTGTAGCTCTGAACAAACATTTGGAGTGCCCAAACTAGTGTTTACTCATGTGGTAACTGCCTAAAATAATTACTAAACAATTAACAAAGGCTAAAAGATATCCCCTTGGCCTAGAAGCACATTTAGCTTCTACTCCCCCGGTACTGTGCTGTCTCTCCAGGGCAACCCGCCTGTCACAGCACATTGGACTCTTCTCCTCCTTGTAACCAGCTACTCTTCATTGCTCCTTTCTATCCCATCACTTAGTTAAGAGTGTCTGTTTATTGAGTGCAAATGGTTTAAGACAAAGGCTCTCCTGTGTCCACAGCAGGCTTGGGAAGCTAGCTCCGGCTCTTGAGAAGTGTGCAGGGGCAGTGTTTGGTGGCTCAGGTAACAAAGGGCAAGGGCCGGAGAAGCGAGCCGAGCCAAAGGTGAAGCTGCAGGGCCAGAGGCGAAGTGCCGGGGAGAAGCCAGATGAGCGTCCCAGGGATAAGGTAGGGCTGGCAGGTGACTGCACTACAAGCCATAACCCCGAGTGGGGGTGGGTCTGTCCCAGTGCCTGCTCTTGGGGGTGTCTTTCCCCTGGGTGCTCCTCACTGGAGGGACTCCCTGCAGATCTGCAAGGCTCGTCCCTCCTGTTAACCCACGTCGCCAAGCCCTGGGCTGGAGGGGCTCATTCTTCTCCAAGCCCTGGGCTGGAGGGGCTCATTCTTCTCCAAGCCCTGGGCTGGAGGGGCTCATTCTTCTCCAAGCCCTGGGCTGGAGGGGCTCATTCTTCTCCAAGCCCTGGGCTGGAGGGGCTCATTCTTCTCCAAGCCCTGGGCTGGAGGGGCTCATTCTTCTCCAAGCCCTGGGCTGGAGGGGCTCATTCTTCTCCAAGCCCTGGGCTGGAGGGGCTCATTCTTCTCCAAGCCCTGGGCTGGAGGGGCTCATTCTTCTCCAAGCCCTGGGCTGGAGGGGCTCATTCTTCTCCAAGCCCTGGGCTGGAGGGGCTCATTCTTCTCCAAGCCCTGGGCTGGAGGGGCTCATTCTTCTCCAAGCCCTGGGCTGGAGGGGCTCATTCTTCTCCAAGCCCTGGGCTGGAGGGGCTCATTCTTCTCCAAGCCCTGGGCTGGAGGGGCTCATTCTTCTCCAAGCCCTGGGCTGGAGGGGCTCATTCTTCTCCAAGCCCTGGGCTGGAGGGGCTCATTCTTCTCCAAGCCCTGGGCTGGAGGGGCTCATTCTTCTCCAAGCCCTGGGCTGGAGGGGCTCATTCTTCTCCAAGCCCTGGGCTGGAGGGGCTCATTCTTCTCCAAGCCCTGGGCTGGAGGGGCTCATTCTTCTCCAAGCCCTGGGCTGGAGGGGCTCATTCTTCTCCAAGCCCTGGGCTGGAGGGGCTCATTCTTCTCCAAGCCCTGGGCTGCGGGAGGCAAGGACAAGCCCAAGGGATCGCTCTGTTTGCTGGGCAGCGGGGATGCTTTGGCCCCTAGGTGGCGGAGGGCTGTGCTTATAGGGCTATCCCCCTCTGAGGCCTGGCCAGGGGTGTGTGTGCTGGGGGGGCTATCCCCCTCTGAGGCCTGGCCAGGGGTGTGTGTGCTGGGGGGGCTATCCCCCTCTGAGGCCTGGCCAGGGGTGTGTGTGCTGGGGGGGCTATCCCCCTCTGAGGCCTGGCCAGGGGTGTGTGTGCTGGGGGGGCTATCCCCCTCTGAGGCCTGGCCAGGGGTGTGTGTGCTGGGGGGGCTATCCCCCTCTGAGGCCTGGCCAGGGGTGTGTGTGCTGGGGGGGCTATCCCCCTCTGAGGCCTGGCCAGGGGTGTGTGTGCTGGGGGGGCTATCCCCCTCTGAGGCCTGGCCAGGGGTGTGTGTGCTGGGGGGGCTATCCCCCTCTGAGGCCTGGCCAGGGGTGTGTGTGCTGGGGGGGCTATCCCCCTCTGAGGCCTGGCCAGGGGTGTGTGTGCTGGGGGGGCTATCCCCCTCTGAGGCCTGGCCAGGGGTGTGTGTGCTGGGGGGGCTATCCCCCTCTGAGGCCTGGCCAGGGGTGTGTGTGCTGGGGGGGCTATCCCCCTCTGAGGCCTGGCCAGGGGTGTGTGTGCTGGGGGGGCTATCCCCCTCTGAGGCCTGGCCAGGGGTGTGTGTGCTGGGGGGGCTATCCCCCTCTGAGGCCTGGCCAGGGGTGTGTGTGCTGGGGGGGCTATCCCCCTCTGAGGCCTGGCCAGGGGTGTGTGTGCTGGGGGGGCTATCCCCCTCTGAGGCCTGGCCAGGGGTGTGTGTGCTGGGGGGGCTATCCCCCTCTGAGGCCTGGCCAGGGGTGTGTGTGCTGGGGGGGCTATCCCCCTCTGAGGCCTGGCCAGGGGTGTGTGTGCTGGGGGGGCTATCCCCCTCTGAGGCCTGGCCAGGGGTGTGTGTGCTGGGGGGGCTATCCCCCTCTGAGGCCTGGCCAGGGGTGTGTGTGCTGGGGGGGCTATCCCCCTCTGAGGCCTGGCCAGGGGTGTGTGTGCTGGGGGGGCTATCCCCCTCTGAGGCCTGGCCAGGGGTGTGTGTGCTGGGGGGGCTATCCCCCTCTGAGGCCTGGCCAGGGGTGTGTGTGCTGGGGGGGCTATCCCCCTCTGAGGCCTGGCCAGGGGTGTGTGTGCTGGGGGGGCTATCCCCCTCTGAGGCCTGGCCAGGGGTGTGTGTGCTGGGGGGGCTATCCCCCTCTGAGGCCTGGCCAGGGGTGTGTGTGCTGGGGGGGCTATCCCCCTCTGAGGCCTGGCCAGGGGTGTGTGTGCTGGGGGGGCTATCCCCCTCTGAGGCCTGGCCAGGGGTGTGTGTGCTGGGGGGGCTATCCCCCTCTGAGGCCTGGCCAGGGGTGTGTGTGCTGGGGGGGCTATCCCCCTCTGAGGCCTGGCCAGGGGTGTGTGTGCTGGGGGGGCTATCCCCCTCTGAGGCCTGGCCAGGGGTGTGTGTGCTGGGGGGGCTATCCCCCTCTGAGGCCTGGCCAGGGGTGTGTGTGCTGGGGGGGCTATCCCCCTCTGAGGCCTGGCCAGGGGTGTGTGTGCTGGGGGGGCTATCCCCCTCTGAGGCCTGGCCAGGGGTGTGTGTGCTGGGGGGGCTATCCCCCTCTGAGGCCTGGCCAGGGGTGTGTGTGCTGGGGGGGCTATCCCCCTCTGAGGCCTGGCCAGGGGTGTGTGTGCTGGGGGGGCTATCCCCCTCTGAGGCCTGGCCAGGGGTGTGTGTGCTGGGGGGGCTATCCCCCTCTGAGGCCTGGCCAGGGGTGTGTGTGCTGGGGGGGCTATCCCCCTCTGAGGCCTGGCCAGGGGTGTGTGTGCTGGGGGGGCTATCCCCCTCTGAGGCCTGGCCAGGGGTGTGTGTGCTGGGGGGGCTATCCCCCTCTGAGGCCTGGCCAGGGGTGTGTGTGCTGGGGGGGCTATCCCCCTCTGAGGCCTGGCCAGGGGTGTGTGTGCTGGGGGGGCTATCCCCCTCTGAGGCCTGGCCAGGGGTGTGTGTGCTGGGGGGGCTATCCCCCTCTGAGGCCTGGCCAGGGGTGTGTGTGCTGGGGGGGCTATCCCCCTCTGAGGCCTGGCCAGGGGTGTGTGTGCTGGGGGGGCTATCCCCCTCTGAGGCCTGGCCAGGGGTGTGTGTGCTGGGGGGGCTATCCCCCTCTGAGGCCTGGCCAGGGGTGTGTGTGCTGGGGGGGCTATCCCCCTCTGAGGCCTGGCCAGGGGTGTGTGTGCTGGGGGGGCTATCCCCCTCTGAGGCCTGGCCAGGGGTGTGTGTGCTGGGGGGGCTATCCCCCTCTGAGGCCTGGCCAGGGGTGTGTGTGCTGGGGGGGCTATCCCCCTCTGAGGCCTGGCCAGGGGTGTGTGTGCTGGGGGGGCTATCCCCCTCTGAGGCCTGGCCAGGGGTGTGTGTGCTGGGGGGGCTATCCCCCTCTGAGGCCTGGCCAGGGGTGTGTGTGCTGGGGGGGCTATCCCCCTCTGAGGCCTGGCCAGGGGTGTGTGTGCTGGGGGGGCTATCCCCCTCTGAGGCCTGGCCAGGGGTGTGTGTGCTGGGGGGGCTATCCCCCTCTGAGGCCTGGCCAGGGGTGTGTGTGCTGGGGGGGCTATCCCCCTCTGAGGCCTGGCCAGGGGTGTGTGTGCTGGGGGGGCTATCCCCCTCTGAGGCCTGGCCAGGGGTGTGTGTGCTGGGGGGGCTATCCCCCTCTGAGGCCTGGCCAGGGGTGTGTGTGCTGGGGGGGCTATCCCCCTCTGAGGCCTGGCCAGGGGTGTGTGTGCTGGGGGGGCTATCCCCCTCTGAGGCCTGGCCAGGGGTGTGTGTGCTGGGGGGGCTATCCCCCTCTGAGGCCTGGCCAGGGGTGTGTGTGCTGGGGGGGCTATCCCCCTCTGAGGCCTGGCCAGGGGTGTGTGTGCTGGGGGGGCTATCCCCCTCTGAGGCCTGGCCAGGGGTGTGTGTGCTGGGGGGGCTATCCCCCTCTGAGGCCTGGCCAGGGGTGTGTGTGCTGGGGGGGCTATCCCCCTCTGAGGCCTGGCCAGGGGTGTGTGTGCTGGGGGGGCTATCCCCCTCTGAGGCCTGGCCAGGGGTGTGTGTGCTGGGGGGGCTATCCCCCTCTGAGGCCTGGCCAGGGGTGTGTGTGCTGGGGGGGCTATCCCCCTCTGAGGCCTGGCCAGGGGTGTGTGTGCTGGGGGGGCTATCCCCCTCTGAGGCCTGGCCAGGGGTGTGTGTGCTGGGGGGGCTATCCCCCTCTGAGGCCTGGCCAGGGGTGTGTGTGCTGGGGGGGCTATCCCCCTCTGAGGCCTGGCCAGGGGTGTGTGTGCTGGGGGGGCTATCCCCCTCTGAGGCCTGGCCAGGGGTGTGTGTGCTGGGGGGGCTATCCCCCTCTGAGGCCTGGCCAGGGGTGTGTGTGCTGGGGGGGCTATCCCCCTCTGAGGCCTGGCCAGGGGTGTGTGTGCTGGGGGGGCTATCCCCCTCTGAGGCCTGGCCAGGGGTGTGTGTGCTGGGGGGGCTATCCCCCTCTGAGGCCTGGCCAGGGGTGTGTGTGCTGGGGGGGCTATCCCCCTCTGAGGCCTGGCCAGGGGTGTGTGTGCTGGGGGGGCTATCCCCCTCTGAGGCCTGGCCAGGGGTGTGTGTGCTGGGGGGGCTATCCCCCTCTGAGGCCTGGCCAGGGGTGTGTGTGCTGGGGGGGCTATCCCCCTCTGAGGCCTGGCCAGGGGTGTGTGTGCTGGGGGGGCTATCCCCCTCTGAGGCCTGGCCAGGGGTGTGTGTGCTGGGGGGGCTATCCCCCTCTGAGGCCTGGCCAGGGGTGTGTGTGCTGGGGGGGCTATCCCCCTCTGAGGCCTGGCCAGGGGTGTGTGTGCTGGGGGGGCTATCCCCCTCTGAGGCCTGGCCAGGGGTGTGTGTGCTGGGGGGGCTATCCCCCTCTGAGGCCTGGCCAGGGGTGTGTGTGCTGGGGGGGCTATCCCCCTCTGAGGCCTGGCCAGGGGTGTGTGTGCTGGGGGGGCTATCCCCCTCTGAGGCCTGGCCAGGGGTGTGTGTGCTGG